ACACTTGTTGTATTTTATTCGATAATGAAATGTAAACAAACCTTCAGGCTACTCTAGAATGAAATAATTTAATAAAAACAGGAGCAACAACAACAACAATAAAAGCTATTTAATTACAATAAAAAAAGTAAAAAAAAGTAAAACTATCCAGTAAAACTATCTTATAACTTCTTACAGAAAAAAAATTGCGCGAAATTTCATAAAGAAATTATACGTAATACAGAGGATAATACTCTGTAATTTTCGGAGCAATTTAACATATATCGAAAAAAGCTAGACTCCTTAAAATTTGCACACTGGTTGTGCTATCAATGAGATACAAACCAATGAAATTTCACTCTGCAAATTTGAAAGAGTCTATAGACTATAGCTTCTACTTTTCCGTGCAGGTATGAATATTTGTGGAAATATTTATTTATATAATAAAACTCAATGAAAGATTTTTCTATTTTCGTGTACTTATTAAATCAGTTGAGTATTTCCAACGGTACCATTAAATGGCACATAATGACCTAATTTCTTATAGCGGCATAAAAGCTGAAACAAATAAAAACAATGATCTGCCGTATATGAATATTTTAAATAAATGACAGTGAATAAATGGTTGAAGTGGTTTTTATACGAATACATGATAAACCACTGGAAACGTTGATGAAGTCGACGGCTTTGGCCGTGTGCAGTAAATAGCATGTGAAATACTATGTATTTGTCTCAAAGGTTTTCCACACTGGTGTTTTTATAAAAAGCAGTCGCCCTTATATTTTTCGTAAAAGGAAATTCCCTGAAGATTTGTCATTCACATCGACATCAGCACGCATTTTCATTATTTGGCACAAGATGATGGAAAAACTTTTGTAGCTATATGATGATGATGATTTGATGGCAATATTGATGTTTCGCATGTTATTTACTTACCAACAATGATGCACACTTTGTATTTTCAGTGTACTTGGAATAGGGCAAGTGTTAAAGACCGCATCCTAGCTAATGGATAAAAAGTATACTCAGCAACCGATTTATCTATCTAATAAAATCAAATGGTTGAATGAACGGAGACTCACGGTGATTTTTAGTTTTTTCCTCGTTTAAATATCATTGTATCATGTGTTTTCTAACGAAGGAAAATAATTTTTTACTCTCAAATTGAACAATCCGCAATAAAAACGAAAATACGTATAAAAACTAACAACTGTTGTACCGATCCAATATTTCTTTGCATTAAAAAAAAATCTGCTTGTTCATATCGAAGAATTTATTTGTTAATTGTTATGTTGCATTGCAATGTCATTCAATGATTTTTTTTCTCCCCATTTTTCCTTAATGCGCAAAAAGAATGAATGAATTACATCTGAAAATGGATTTCATTCATTTTATTTTCTTATTGCTATGTCACGTCAAGAGCATGCATCAAAATGTGCTAGAAAAATGGCCAAAATGTTGAACAAAATTATTCATAGGCCCAAAAATGATAGCATGAATAAATAGCAACTCTGTGTTCGTTCACGTTAAAATTCTCTAGAACAATTCATTTATTTATTTTCAATTCGTAATTTAATACGTCATGAGTAATAAAATTGAAAAGAAATGTTTTCATTTTTCGGTTGTTCTCGGTTGTCATGCATCATTGGCTGCTATTCAAATGTCACAGATTGACGTGTGTGTGCGACATAAATAATACGTACTCAACAAAACACTGTATTCACTTTCACAATGGCAAAGTGAATAATAAACCAACTTCTGATTTTGAGAACCGTTGTTTTGAGTGTTCGTTTCATTTTGACTATTTACTGTGACTGCATTGAAAAGTGTTATAAATTGTCACTATTTGAACTTGTAGTAGTCGTGAAAAAAACTTGCACTTGTACATTTATTCTGTATTTTGCTATTGAGTAATCCATTTCGAGTATTTTAGTTTTTGTATTACGAATGCGTGCGCGCCTCTTATAGTATCGCTTCTTGCCCTCATCATTGCGATTTGATTGACTCATCTCTATTGTTTACATATGTCACATTCTTTTTGGTGATATCTTTCCTGTTTTGAAGTACGGGACGGATTTTTTTGTCATTTGATGCCCCTGTTTTTAACATCTTCTGCCTTTATTTGTTTTTGTCCATCTGTTGTTGCAAACAAATAAACCTGAATTGATTTAAATGCATTCATGTTTACATATTTGCTCTATGTTCTAAAAATCCTCATCATTCTTTACTATAATTCTCTCCTTCGATAATAAAGTCATTATTATTTCGAAATGGCACGAAATGGAATGTTTGAACAGTGGTCATGCTACAACCGCAGATCAGCTATGTATATGGAATCCTGTTGTGATTTTAACACATTAAAATGATTAAGAGCTACAGGAACCGTATTCGGTTCGGCGCAGAATGGCCCACCGAGGCGTTCACTGATTGATATCCTGCTGTTCCAAAATCTTATCATCTTCGCCATCAATTACACATTAATTACACATATATTTAGTATAATCATAATCCGAATGTGGAATGCATGTAGTGGAGGTAATTTAATTTATTTTTATCGATTTTCACATTGCTCTTATAGATGTTCATCACCATTTATTCGATGAACATTGAATTTCGAAAGAGAATGTTAATACTTTTGCTATTTTTTCATATTCTTTATATTACAATCAAGTCAAAATAATGTAATAAATACACTTCAATAACTCACAATGCATGATTCCCATTTGAGCATAATGGAAATGAGAGCAAATGAAGCTGTTTATCCAAGTGCAAATGCAACAAAATAGTTTTAATTTAATTTAACTCCGAAAATATAGAGATTTTGTTAATAGTGTCAAACCATTTAGCAACCCGCTAGGTGGACAAAGGGTGCAAAAACTCAACCAGCATCTTTTAAACGATAAATATCAATTGAAATGAAATTTGCTTAATTAAAATGGTTCATAAATTAAAATTGTCGTGAGACGAAAACATGTTAAATATTTTTGTCAATTTATCAATTGTTTCGCGAACGTAAAATTATTGCTGCCAATTCAATTGTCAATACACGAAATTCCCCACAATCTACGAACTATTTAAGAGTATGTATCGTATATACCATAAAATACTCAACATCAACCGGAACGGAACGAACTGCATGGAATTTCGGTTTATCTACTATTGTTGTTGTTGTTGTTTCTACTCCTGTAGCTCTCGAAGTAGTCAGAAGAAGGAAAAAAACATTGACATCTGTCTGTGTTCCACTCCATAGCGTGCATTCATGCTGAATAGCAGTAGCACATATCTAGCCATATCGCACTCGTCATTTTACTTCGATAACATGTTTGTTCGCTGCTGTTTTTCTATTTCGACGAATTGTAACGGACGTGTGCTCTCTGTATTTTCATATATTGCTTTCCTTTTTTTCATTCACTCTTTATTCGTTATTTAAGAGGATGGTTACGGTTGTTGTACCTTGATATGGTTGTAAAAACACGGAGAGATAATCGGTCACATGCCTCATTTTTAAACAATTATAAGTGGGACGAAATTTTCGCTGCACAATCTCATTGGCTTATAAATAAAAGAATCGGTGTGAAGTGCAAATATCGGTTAAAGGATCTTTGAAATATTTGGTAAGATTACTTCATTTATAATTCACATCGTGGGTTTTTGATTTGAAAAACAATTGAAGTGGTCGAATGACGTACGGCGACATCACATATTGAAACAAATTAATCGATGCATTTTAGGATGCGATTTAATCAGATGCATCGTGTTCAATGTGAAGCAGTGTGTTGTCAAACATCATGATCATGTAATACTTTGTTACTGTTTTAAGATAAAATTTCATTGCATAGAAATGCAAGAGTGGATAGAAAAATTAGCGCATATGCGGGAAAATACATAAAAACCATTTTCATTAAATGCATAAATAAGCGAAACACATCTGGGCTGCCGCACAAACGGTCACGTTATATCTCTAAAGATAGATATACACAAACCTGGTACACGATGATAATAAATAAAAAAAGCCAGCTTTTGGTCGTTGCAAGGTACTTTAAATTTTCAATTTTCATTCGAAAGAGCAGCAGCAACACTTATTTATCAGTGAATTCGTTCGCCATCGCTTCTTTGATATTTCTCTCTTGCATGAAAACAAATTTGCGTATAGATGTATACAGGCAATAGATTGCCATAACATTAGTCTATACCGATTGGATTGTTGACTCATTTTTTCTTTCTCTGTATGCATGTTTATGTATATCAAAGCAGTGAACGCCGCACAAAGAAATGAAATATTGTGAGCACTCAATAAATAAATTTTCTTTTTTTCTCGCAAGATATTTCGTTAGTCTGTCAATAGAATCATTTACTTTGCATTCAACGCCATCAGTTAAAACATTCGAATTATGCGTTTCAGAAAAAAATGAAAACGAAACACGCGTTTGACGTTGACGTTGAATACTCGAATATATGTTGTTCTTTTTCGTGCGTATACTTTTATCCCAGAGACTTTTTCAAGTGTTTTTCTTATGGTTGAGTTTTTCATTTAAATTTTATTATTCTTATTTTGATACCAAAAATAACCATACAAACAACGTTTCGTTGAGCGATCGCATTCATTTCCCCTTTTTCAAGCGATTCGTTGTTGATTTTTGCTTTTATGTGAACAGTCCGTGCCGACATATGTAAATGTTGAAATAAGGAATTAATAATAAAATACAATGAAATAGTAAAAAAATTAAATCTCTGCGGTTTGACGTTCACCATTCATATGCATCGAACGTGGACAAACTATAAATTGCGACAAAAGACCATTCGAGAGCATTTGTTTTGAAGCGGCATTAACGGCAACAGAGGCGGTCATAAAAAATGAATACGTATTTTATTTTATTTTATTTTACTGACTCTTAAAGAAAAATTTGTCACGTATGACCATTCAATGAGATTTTGATATTTAATTTAATTTCATCGCCACTTGACTAATTCAAACCATTCAGAATTTTTTAATTTTTTATAATCTTTTTTTATCATCGTAGTTACGCCGTATCCATTGGATTGATTGATGCTCTTTCAAAAAAATGCATGAAAATCAGAGAACCCATTGAAGCCCATCAAAGTGTTGTGTTGTCAGTATTGGCATGCTTGGGTTTATTGACAAAATTTACGGATGTTTGTCCAAAAAGTTTGTAGCATAAATGTGCCTTCAAATGCCACCAATTTAATAATGTAAATAAAAACTATATTCCTTCAGACTCAAGCTCCTCAAAACTCCTATCAGTGGTAAAGTCAACCGAACTCTTTGGAACCATTTCATTACTTTACGCAACTATCGTTCCAGTAGGTATGTATAATTCCACAGCAATGAAACGACAACAACAATAACACATATTTTTACTGTCAAAATTTTGATGTCAAATGGTGTCGACATTGGTGACGGTATTTTGAAACAGACTGTGTAATCCATATTCATCGTATATGATCCTATGTAAAGTTCTATACTTGATCTAGTTCACATTGACGGTTCAAATCGTTTATGTCCACTAGCGTGGACATGGACTGTGTGTTTCTTCTGTTACATGTACGTTGTAATGGACAAGTATAGTAACATGGCGTCGTTCAAATAAATTTAAAAATCCGTCCACTCGTGTCGTCATCTAGCACGGTAGTAGGGATTTCATTGCTGTGTATAATTCATTAATAATTCGACATAATGCAGTTCATGATTGTTTTTTAAAATCCTATCAAAAAATTCAGGAGAAAAAATTCCTCCAAGAACAGTATCTGTGGCAGCGTCGGCTTTTAATTTAATTTTGACGATAGCGAATTTGGACCTAGACGTCTTTCAGGTATGTAATACTATGCAATTGAAAAAGCAATTTATTTTTCTGGCGTTTGATTTATTAAAAAGCAATTTATTTTTCTGGCGTTTGATTTATTATTTAGATTTTGGCAAATATTTTTCTTCTTCTAATAACTACTTTTTTTATTCTGCTAAAATAAATTAATTCGCTTTGGCTTCTATAAATCCATTCATCATTTACAAAAATTTACTACGCTTGCAGAATATTTAATTGAATCCAAAACAAATTTTTGATGTGTGTTCATCGTGATATTTTTTCCTTTTCCAACTGGTTTTCTAAAAATGCGCACGCTTCAAACACATTCTCACTTGAATAACTTGAGCATTGTTGTTGAAAGCAGCACCTCTAGATGCACAGACACACAATGTAAATATTGACGCAATGTTGCAGATGAATTGAGTTTTCTCAATCTACACCCAGAGATTCGCTCTGTCAACATTTTGGGGAATGGCACAAAAATGTTTAATTTTGACTTTTCTACAAATAATGACGAGAACGGAAACACAATGGATGAGGTTCCTTCATCCATTTATAATTGAAAAATCAACCAAATATTATTCAAAGATTATTTTTTTGTTGATATATTGATTTAATTTATTATTTATTAAATAAAAATAAAGTTTTGATCAAAATTTCTATAACTCATTCAGATATACAAAGTAAAATTCGTATTTTTTTAGTTTGAAAAACGTCGAAAGTTGTTAAACGTGTTACAATGAATTTTCCTTTACTTGTTCGATGATATCATCGAAATAAAGACCAAAACCTAAATGAGGAAAATTATTTTTTTGAAGGGAAATAAACACTCAGGAGAATATATAAAATATTAAAACGAATCATCAAAATCAAGCAAACGGGAAAAATAACGAGTAAATAAATGTGATTACTATTTATTATTATTACTTGAACAAACACAATTCTCATGTTATTCTTGAGGAAATAAAATTTCAATATTATCTCGTGCTTCTTGTTGACACAAGACTCTGTATTTCATTGCGTTACGATGGTTTGATTCTAACTGATATTTAAAAACATTGCGTCCAAAGCACCGTATTTACATCACAGCAAGCATACCAAAAGCAAATAAACTGAAGCAGAACAATGAAGTAGACAAACACTTGAATGCAAAAACGGTTTCGCAAAACGTTTGTGGTGCATCATCTTCAAAATGATGGTAATTGTGTGTGTGTGTGTGTGTGTACAGTGGCGCATCGGCCGAATAATTAATTTTTCCACTGGTCTGCCTTCGAGGGTTGTTAATTAATAACAAATGCAAAATAAAATAATGTTCCGCACTTCTATTAATTACATAAACAATCGATTTGTTGCCTTTTTTTATCTTCTCCATTTCTATTGTAGTCAATTATGGGCCAAGAATCACTTTTGCTACAATATCTCGATGTTGTTACAATTTTATTGAAGTATTGCGGTCCAAAAACCAATGAAAATCGTGAAACTCAGGCTGTGATTGTTGATTTAGTTGCTACTTTGGGATTTCTCTGTGCTAATAACAAACAAAACCAGGTAAGAAACAGTTTTTCGTGAATAATTTGTTCAGCATCTATTTTATTGCCAAGATAACGTAATGTGCCCAGTTACCGGACAGCACCCAGTTATCGGACATTTGCTTTGTATTTAAAAAAAGGAACTTATACTCGAATATTCTTAAATTTATATATATGAAAAGAAAGCTCTTATTTTTTTTCGATTAGAGGGTTATTAAATGAATACCCTTTTTACCATTAACTTCAGCACCATAGAATTTTTTCTGTCATTTGCGCTTAAAAAAGAACGTCAATCACATCAGTTGCTCTATGCAAGTTTGTAGAAAAATATTTCAAACTATACGCATTAGTGTGAAACTTCACATTTAAAATAATTAAATATCGTATATTTAATTCTAATTGTTACGTATATATAAAATCAATTTTATAAATTTTCAACGTTTTACTTTTCCGCACACTATAGTGTGTAAGGTAAAGTATTGGAATCGGTCGAAAAATTAACACCCTCAAAAAACATGTTTTCTGGGTGTTTTAGGAGCCAGGGAATACGAATCTAGCGTTTTTTCGATGTCCGAATGTATGTGCGTGGTACCCTGTACGCAGGAATTTGTTAACACGATAACTTTCAAACAAAAAAAGTAATTTGTAGGAAAGGTATTGTATTTGGCCAAAAAATTAAAGTCACCCCAAAACATGTTTTCTATGCATATTTCATGTAGAAAACGCGATTGGAGATGATTTTGGTGCGTCGCTGTGTGTGATGTGTCCTGTGTCCTGTGACTCCTTTTTTTGCTACCGCGATAAGTCTTCTTCCAAAAACTCAATTAAAATTCTGACTTTGCAGGATGATTTGGGACTACTAGAAGACGTGCTGATTAGTTTTTGAGCAATATCCGTTGACCGGTGTAATTTTTTTGGTCCGAATGGAGTACCCACAATCCATACATTTTTTGATCATTTTTCAACCATTTTGGTGACACGATGGTTCCGTGCTCAGACATGAAATTCAAAATCTGACTTTACGGGATGATTGGGCGTTACGAGGAATAGATCTGGTCAAATTTTCAACGACATTGATTGATCGATGTAAAACTTCTATGTTCAACAAATGCTAAACTATGTTCAACAAATGCTCTATTCTTACCAGCATGACAGCAATTTTGTCACATACTCTATTCGATTCGATGTATTTATCTAACGGGTGTATCTTTCTCTCGTATAAACGTCAATGGTGACCTAAAGCGATGACTTATATAGCCTCTCCAATTTTCTCCTTTTGTACTCGGCATTTGCGGATAACGAGTTCTATCATTTCGATTGTTTTGTTCAGAAGCGACAAACCCACGTGTCCATCGCTTTGCTTTTCGGTTTCGTACTCCTTGCCTGGTCAATGATATTTCTTACTGCTGGTCTTGAAATTCATCGGTGTGTGTGTGTGAGAGAGAGAGAGAAAAAAAACAATGGAATAAATCACACGATGAAATGAAATGCAATACTGAGAAATCAAAAACACATACCTCTTTGTCGAAGTCGATATGCCGTCTAACGGTCGCGTTCCACGTTTTCATGCCCGGAACGATTCCCAATTCGTAAATGAAAAAGCCATCCTCGTAACGCTTTTTATCAGTTCATCGCTCACCAACTGTTCCAATGTATTTCGCGATACGTCGTATAATATCGATGCTGACACACCATCGGTTACAACATGATAATGAAATTCTTTGTTCGCGTTCAATATTCCATTGATTTCGTTCATGTCGAAAATCTCATTGAAATAATGCATCTTGTTTTCACAGACATGGGTGACATCAACTTGCCGTCCATACTCATCTAACGGGATGATTTTGGTTTCACACATCTTTCGATACAATATATTGGCATCAATTTTAATATTCTTTCGCAAATGTGTGCAAATTGGTAATACCGAAAGATTTTTGATTATGGGAAGCTCAATGTCAGCCGGAATATTTTCGGGGTGTTTTTGTACCCAATTGTGATAATCCTCGATATATTTTTTTTTGCATGTGAACCCATATTGGCAACGATGCGAACCAATTATGTTTTGTATCTTCTGCGATGTTGTCGTCTTCTTGTCCGCCAATATTTCGCACACAAGTGAGCAATATGTTTGTCCAATCTAATCGCATCACCTCTGGTTGAGTCGTATCTTTCAATGGCTCACTTCACTGCATTGTTGACATCATGTTCATCAAATACGTTGTTTGGATCCAGATTGTCGACGTTGTGTTCCCACACCAACAATCTCAGGTACTCACGAAGTCGTTTGTCATCGTGTGTGTTGAGGTTGCTTATGGCATTTCGTCCATGTTTTTGGAATAAATATTTTATAATATTCCCAAAATAATCATTATTGGGTCATGCGAACCGATTGTCTCTGTCCAATGCCTCGACTATATTTGCTCAACACAGAAAAGAAGCATCCTTCAATTATGTGGATACCATCACCTTCATCGAAAAATTCCCAGTTGTTCGTCAAAATGGTCTCTTCATTCGCAAGTCTCTTCATTCGCAATCTTTGTGTAAAAACAAAAGTGACGCCAGATCACAGATTTTTATACATTCGATACTCCTCTTCGCAATCTATGGCAACACAGTATCGTGATATTCCTATTTGACTGCCGTTACTTTCTTCTGGAAGTTTGCCTACTTTTCGTCTTTTCGGTTTCGATCCACATATAGCACCAACTCCGTTTCTTTTTCGTCCACCCATTGTCAATACTGAATTCTAAAAATAGAATTTTAATGCAATTGCAATAAAGAATAAATTTTCGATACGACATAAAAAAAATGCTACTGAACACAATGACTTTCTGTTTTTTTTTTTTTTGAGAGCACAATAAAATACATTTCCAACTCACTTTAACTCGATTGCGAATGCAGCAATCAGTTCAACTCAATTAGCACAAAAACACCATACAGCAATGTTCAAATGAATCTAATACCGGAATAGAGAAGGGAACAATTGAATAATTATTCAGAGATTAAAATGATCTTACTTTGAAGAACTCAGCGACACAGCTGATGTCTGAATTTTCGTCTTGTTGCGAAATTCAGATGGCGAACGGTTCATATATACAGAATAAAGCGAACACTAAAAGATCGGAGAGTGTTGAAATTTTACCATATGGTTTTGCAAATATTCTGCCCTCCATTCAATAAAGCAGAACCAAATACGAAATTAACGGAAAAATGACAAAAGAATGGATTATTATTACAAACAAAACATTTTCTTGACTCGAAATAGTGGAATTTATTGATTATAATTATTGTGTTCTTTTGCACATTCAGATGACAAACTAAACACTATCGAAAGAGTTGTCTCAAGTTTGATGTAAATGAAACTGGAACGTTGACTGTCAACGAACGGTCAAAAAACGAGACAGTCAGCAATGTATTAGTATAATAAAATCAATGGTATTTGATATTCAAACAAACGGATACACATTGCTTGCCTTTTGACGATGCTAGTTAGTGACTAGTAGTCACATGTATGAGTGTGAGTGAGATGATGAAATTATAGGGAAAAAAATTAGCATACAAAACACAATACTTTGTTGATTTGAAACAGTAAACACAACGCTCATTCGATAAAAACAAAATTGAAACTGTGAAATGTCATCGCAGTATTAATGAACTTTGAAATTTGGCCGTTAAATAAATCAAAATGTACATTTTTCGATGCTGTTCAGAATATTTATTATTATTTCATTCCATGTGGAACCTACACGACTTTATATAGTGATGTACGAAATTTCGCATGTCTCAACAGTTCCGCTTCGGGAAGTCGTAATACCAATCTATGTTTTGTGATTGCTATCAATTGGCATGAAATTTGACCGTCTTTAAATTGAGAATTACCACTTTTTCATTTGCAGATATGAAAAACACCCTAATGTACATTCAAATGTTATTAATAATAGAGACTGAGAGAGATGTAAGAGCAATTTTATATACATGTATATTATTCAGTCGAAAAGCGATTCCATTAAGATGCTTTCAATCGATAAAATGTTATTACGAAGAAAAAACCATCCGACTTGATCATTCTTAACACCGCAAACCTCAAACAATATATAGACTCGCTTTTAGTGAACAAAATGAAATTTGAAAGGTGAATAAGATGAGATGAAAGGATGACGATTGATAACCAAAAAAATATACATATATGGAGCGGCAATCTACATTTCAAATTAAATGTCTTACATCCGTAAGATGAACTTTTCCGCACTGCGAACCACAACATGCATTTATTACGTACCTTTTACCGTAAATATGAATTCATGAGAAAACTGAATCTGATATAAATTTTGCGGTACCAATAATTTTTGATAGACTTTTCAATGCCTGTATGATATCGTTATCATGTGAAAATTTGCAGATAATATTTTTTTCATAAAAAGCTAACATTCTGAAAGTTTGAAGAAATTTCAATACAATATAGTGGTACCTTCCATACAAAGTTTTCGTTTTTGAGCAAAAAATCCAAAATTTTGTTCGGGAGGTACCCCTTGCATGCACTGAAATGTCTTCAAACTCCGAGAATGTTATTTTTGTGGAGAAGTGTGTCGAAATTTTTTTGTATCGCAAAACTAACGTCATATTCGGTTTTCTCGTACCCAAAATACCCTCAATACACATTTTTGAGTGTTTAGGTATACATGAAATATCACTTTTGGAAGAAAAATTAAATTTTTCCCATGGATGGCCATGGGCATCACACCAGACATGACACTGCAATCTATCAACCAAAGTCGCTCAAAATGTAATGGTTTCTATTCCTCGGCACCCCCAATCATCCTGTGAAGTCAGATTTGGAATTACTTTTCTTGTTTGAAATTTATCGTGTTAACAAATTTTTGCGTACAGGTTACAGGGTACCACGCACATACATTCAGACATCGAAAAAACGCTAGATTCGTGTTCCCTGGCTCCTTAAACACCCAGAAAACATGTTTTTTAAGAGTGTTAATTTTTCAATCGATTCCAATACTTTACCTTACACACTAGGTGTGTGCGGGAAAGTAAAATGATGTGCTTCAATACTTCAACATTACTTTTTGACGTATAAGTGAAATGTGTAAAGTCGTACCGCCATACTCAAATTGAAAACCTCAAAAGAAAATTACACAAACCGCAAGAATGAATAGAAATATAGTTAGCACACAAGAGAAACCGAAAACTTGGTTAAAGGGCAAATGAAATCGTATACAAAACTGAGACAGGTTGGTCATGATTTGCAAAATTCACACCATTTTTAGTTTCATTTGGTTTCAAGAACTATAATTTGATACATCTCAGCTTGATGTAAAAGTCTATACGATTGAATTATGTGTTGAGTAATGCCTTAATAACATAATATTCAGCCAATCACTATTGACGATCTGGTCGAGGCTTGCAAGCAAATTATGAACAATGGTTGACGACGTCGACGACGAAAACAACTAATGGAAATAAAATGATCGTAGCTGCATCTAATTTTCCGTTCAATGTCCATTCGCGTCAATGGCAACGACATGTCGGTAAAGTCAGAGATTTTTGAAAAATTATACCAATCGAGTTAATGCGTTAAAATCATTTGGCGTCTCTGCTTTTCAGAATTCAATGGTTCACTAAATATCTGAGTACATTAAACTTCATTTTTTGTCTATTTTTAATTTCTAGAATCGTTTTATTAGCGACCAATCGTCGGTTATTTTAAAAAGTCTTTCAAAATTACCGAAATCCTTTGATATTGTCGTGTATCCAACACTATTGTGTTTGACATGTGATAATGATGGCGCCAAAAATGTTATTGGAAAAGAATTTGATCTGAAGGTAAGTTTCATGATTCAAATTGGAATTTTTCAATGGGTTTTATTTTTATTTATTATCTTCATTGTGAATGAATTGATAAACATTTTTATGGTATATATATATTTTTTCTTTTCAATCTTTCACTTCATCGCAGCTCATTGAAGATTACGAAAAGTCCGATTCGGGCAAGAAAAATAAAATGCTTATGTTGCTCCATTCAAACTCAAAAGAAAATAATAAGTCGAACAAATAATAATAATAAAAAAAAGATGTGAACGCAGTTTTCCTTTATTTGTAACCAGTATTATTTATTAATATTGATACAACATTCATGTTTAATAATTATTATTAACCAATCCGAAATTGAACAACTTTTTTATAAAATGTACTCCCAAAAAAACTTTCAAATTGTATTGTTTTTTTAATAAAAACCACCTCGGAACGAAATATTACCGCAATGACAAATTATTATGATGACAAAATCGTGATGACAAACATACAACAAAGACACAGCGGTTAGTCTCACATTTATAAGAACATCATTTGCTACTGCTTAAGGTAAGATTAAGTATATAACATCCGATGATTTATTGTTGTAGATCTAAGAATATTAAAAAAAAAATATGTTTCAAATTAAGATATTATCATCCATTCTTGCACGCAATCGTTCGATATCAAAATTTAATAAATTTAAACGCATTGTTCATTTTAAGCATCATTGTTCTTATTTATACATAAATTCGTATCGAAATTTCTAAAAATACTGTAGCATCTGTTGTCGTACGACTTTTATTTCTCGGGTCATTTATTTATTATGTTTTTTTTTTCTAAAACACTATAATCTGCTTAAATATGTTCGGACGTGAAAAGATCAACTAAATGTATACAACTAGGGTTCTAAAACTACTTTGGAAATTGCGCGCTCACTCCTTAATGTAATTTTTTCTTTATTTACGCTCAACTTGAGTTAATCCATAGATTTGAATATCCCCTTTGAGTGCTTATGCATTGTTGTGTATATTTTTGAAAGGCGATAGGCCTTGTAGTATGGAATTTTTTATGCACACTCAACATGAGGTTGTGCAGATTACTTCCTGGGGCGTCGAGAGGTGTGAATTGCATTATTTGGAGCAATTTTTATTGGATCGTATGTTACTACGATAAAAAAAATGAATGGTGTTGTACCATTTTTGGATCAGTACATTTTATATGTATTCAAAATGAGCAGCCACAACTGAATTGAAAGCACACCAAATAATAAATAAATGTGCAACATGAAATGTTTCTAATGAACAAATTCGAAAACAAATCGGGTATTGACTTTAATTTGTCATACATTTGTATTGAAGTACCTGTTTTGAATGCAATCAGAGTAAATTTTTTATGACTGGTTTTATCAACTGGTTTCTTATCATACCAAATTATTTATGCGTTTAATCTATTTCCAGAAATAGAATGAAGATAAGATTGCCTAATGTACACTATTGTGGCAATATTCCTACATAAATTCACTTGATAAAAATCCCTATTCAGTTCAGTTCACTGTTAATGAATAAAATCGACATGAAAAGTTGAAAATGGCTCAAATGATAGAAAAGAAAGAAAAATATGTGATAAAATCAGAATACCATAAAACATGACAACGAAGACGAAACGAAATTTAATACAATCAATATCAATGATTTATCTAATGATCGATTTTATTTCCTAAAATATAATTAGTATTTGACCGTCTTCATCTGAAATAACTTCTTTCACTCATCAAATTGATGAAATTTTCAATTAAAACCGAAAATAGAATTAATTTCCGAATTGAATACCACAGTGATTGAATTGAAATGACTCTTGCATACGTCACCGGAAGTGCCGAAATCTATTCATTGAATGTCTCCTTTATAATTTTTGACCAACATTTTTGATTAATGGTATATATAAATGACCTATGTCTACTAAAATGGAAATGAAGTCTATGAATGTGGCGCAAACAATGCCGTTCACGATTTTCTGCTTTAAGAGGCAAGAAATATATACGGAAGGAAATAGTTATTCATGGAGAGACCGAAAATTTTTTGCGCCACATTCATAGACTTCGTTTCCATTTGTGGTTGGCTTTTATTTATTAGCTGGATATTAATTAAAAAAAATCTTTGTGATTCCATATAAATGCAATAAAAATGGTAAATAGACTATTTACGATCTGATAACTTTTATCAGTACCAACCTAATAAAATGTCTGATTTTCACTGCATAAATTTGCTAATAATAATAAAGTAACATTTTCATTAGTTTCATTTATACAATTACTTGATTGTACATACGGCCAAAAATTTTTTGTTGCTTGGGTTCTGTCACGAGTATATTTCTGGTTTCAATTTATTATTATGGTTCGAATATGATCGATATTGCGTGTAGTTCGGAAGCGCTTATTCACTGAAAATTCAAAAAAAAGACAACATAAGGGAATGCCCACTGCATGAATTTCAATGTCAGCACAAACACATTCTTCACTTAAAATATTCGCGAAATGTCATCATCAAAATGTTTCTTTCATGGATCATCAATTTGCAGTCATCTTTATCTTTGTATAGCCATTATTCAGCTGAATTTTGATTTGTTTTACACAAACAGAATCGGACCCGAAAAGAAAAAGTCCAAAAATGCATAAAAAAGCAGTCTTTTTGGTCGCTTCTCTTTTAATTTTTATTCAACTGTATGTTGTATACTCTTGTATTTCTTTCTGTATCATAAGGTGAGTGAAAAGTCGAGAAACCATCTCAACGAGAAATGTTTATGTAAATAAATAAACAAACAAACAAGAATCAGTGGATTTGACCACATTTAAACTTTTTTGAGCAAACAAAACGATAGAAAGAGATGAGAACAAATGAAACATTGTTCGATGGACATATGCAAGACGCATGTACACAAATACAAAAGAGACATATAAAGCTGAGACTTAGATAAAAACCGGCGCCGAAATAATCGAATTGTTGTCATATTTTTCTTGTGTTGTTTGTTTTTTTCCTTCTCTTATTTCAATGTGAATGCGGTATTTTTGCTTTTCACTCAAAGGGATAGATGTCAACCGTACCGTAAGTTTGTCTTTAAATTTTTACTTTTTTTTTATTTTAAATATTTTATCTGTTGATAATAAATGACAATTGAAGAGTAAATATTTATCCACAGAATGTATTTCGTGATGTCATCAAATTCGTGAATATAAAGTTCACCGCTGTGACTCATTACAACGTTTGCGATAAGGTCATTTGTATTTGTTATCTATGGGTCATTAAAACAAAAAAAGGATCGCATTTGAAACTGACTATTATGAATCAGATTCAATGGAATTTCAAGAATTTTACGTCTTACACCAATAGACTTTATAGTCTTGTATACATTTTTTTCGTTTAGCTAAACCTATTTAATGAAGAGATGGATTGAATTAAATGTTAAATGTCTTGCTGTTGTCCTGCATCTAGATGCAACAAATGTCCATTGATTGCCATTGATAATAATAATAAAAAACTGCACCTAATGTCCATGAACAATAACAAAACTGCTATTTAGCTGAATAAAGTTCGTTTCCTGTGCTTGATTTTTTGTAGGCGAAATTTGGTTTTGTTGTAACAAGGCTATTTCATTCGATCATTGAATTTTTTTACTCAAGATGAAAAATCATATTCGTTACTTGAACACTTAAATCGTCTCTTCGACATAAATTTTATTCACTGGATTTTGTCGAAATCAATTTGCAAAGGGCCACAGTTCCAACAGAAATAAAGACTGTTGATTGTTGATTTCTACCTGATATGCAAAACCACAAGAGTTTACAACCATAGCAATGAAAAAACCTCAATGTTGATTTTGCTTTATTATTGAAAATAAAATCACATACAAATAGACCGCATATAAATAAATGAGGCCGTAATGTTTGAGGCTAAACTAAATGACACCTGAAAAAGGTGCTGAAATTTGGGCATTTGTCAGATCAATGTATTCGAGCATATAAAAGATTTATCACATTTTATTAAAATAAGGTGTTCTAAGACTGGTATTTTTGGATCACCAGCAGTAACTACATTGAATAAATTTAAAACTCCAGAAATGTCCGGGCCATGACCACATTTCCAAGTGATAACTGTTCAAGTTTATATTTGCCTATGTTATGCTTGTAAAGAGGGGAACAAATTTCAAACAACTGAACCACCCCTTAATAAATGTTGCACACTGCATTCAACTAGACATATGAATGAATTTAATATTTTTTATAGGCCATATGAATCAGCCATATGGTCCACAGGGGTTTAAATTGATTTTATTTAATTTTACGATAACAACTTTTCTCTCTTCCTCTGCGTTTCTGTAATATTATATGCAGCTACATTTTTTGTCTACCGCTTAAAATGAGCGGCATAATTATGTTGTAGTCACTGACATTCGTGATGCACTGTGCATATATTGTGTTTGTATGGTAAAAGTCTATGTTCGCTTATTCGTTTTTTTTGGGATTAGTCCCAAGTGGAAAACAAGCAAGCGCTTCTAATGACACTGAGCACATGCTATAGTTTATTGCAACAACCGCATCGTGATTTCCATAAGAGTTTTTTTGGAGTAGAAATATTTTGCGTGCAAATTATTTTATTTAAAACTATACTATCTGAACTATCCTGCTGAGCTGTTGCTATTTTTAATCAGGATTGATTGATTTTTGCAGCAATCGTCCCCTCGAAAATGCTATCGGTCTAACGGCCATAATGTTGATCGTAATGCATTAGCCGAAGGGAGACTCAATCACGTACATTATCATAATCATCCGTGTTATTTTATGTTTATAGTTTATGGTTTCCATTCAACATGATTACACACTGCAGTAGCATAATCAACAGAAAATCCCATTCAGTTACAACAAATTCAAGAAGGCTCAAGAGTTGGGAAAGAAGCGCAATATTATATTATTTATTGTTTTAATCCTTGCATAGAAAGAATCAATTGTACGTATTTATATTACGTGGTAACTCGCGTTAATAAGCTAGTCATTTTTATGTGAATGTTTAGCCACTTCTCAGTATACAAGCACAAATCAGATCTGTGCAGATGGCCCGTGAAGGCCATGAAATACTTTTCGTGTGCCAACCACTAAACACGAATATCTTTTATTATTCACCCAAATGGTTTGCGATTGAACCCAGTGATTTGACATAATCTGCAATGCCAAAAAAATACATATCATTCAAACACGCCAATTCGACAGCTTTCCGGAGAAGCCATTTCCACATTCAAAGATTTATTTCTGCTCTGTTTGCATGATTGCGTGCCGTTACGCTTTTAAGATACACAACCAAAAAGTACAAATAAGTTTGGAATTTTGTATTCTTCGGTTGATAAGATGAAGATTCTGAATATTTTATGTGAAGTGTCTGCATGGGATAGAATTCAAAAAAGAATGA